GTTGTTTTTTAATTTGTGTGAGAAGACGGCACAAGATTTTATTGATTGATTTATGAGGTTTTTCTTTTCTTTATTCCACAAAGACGCCTTGAGACTGGAATAAAGTAACTGAACAGCAACACATATTGCCCTGTAACGGAAATTAAACTCTGGGCAAATACAATAAAAACAGAAAATGTAACTGAATAAATGAAACACTACGTAAGTTAATGCAATATAATGTAAAAATTCAGTATTTATTTGAAAGTGGCTGTTATTATCTTGAGTTACTCATCAAGATTGGTGTGTTATTGATGTGTAATGGAGCTCATCACCTTGATCTCCTGCCAAACATCAAGTACACAGTATTGCGACATAGTCATCCAAACATCTCCCCTCTGAAATTGAGTAATTGTGCAGTACTTTAAGTAGCCTATTGAAGGACTTCTGTCACTATTTGTGTGTTTTCTAAGTAGGCTGATTCACAATAAGCCTGGTGATAGTATCTTTCCCCTAGTTAGCCTGTATGTCATGAATTGTGACCATGTTTCTGGTTTCTGGGTTTTGGGTTTTGTACTTTCTCAGGTTTTATTTTAACTTAGCAAAAACATGTCTTGGGTGTTAAGAAGAAGCAGGCCTAGACTCTCATCACACCCGTCGTATTGTTAAACCATGATCAGAAGGGGGGGGCCCTGCTAACCTTTACACACTGGTTCTGCATGGTGTCAGTGCAGTTCCCTCTGACATCTCAGTTTCACTGCAAGATAACAGGAAAGTAATACACAGCTGAAACACTTAATCGATCAGCGGATCGACAGAAAATAATTATGCAAATATTTTGATAACCACCTAACTGAAGTTTTTAAAAGAAAACTGGCGAAACATTCTCCGGTTTCAGCTTTTCTTTGTCATATATATATTTGAGGTTTAGAAGCTATTTGAATGCATCAGTTTGGGTTCTGCAAAGTTAAAATGTGCAATTTTCTCCTTTCTCTCACATTTTATTGCAAAACAATTCATTGAAGAATTGACTGATCAAAAATGAAAATAATAATAATTCGCAGCCCCACAGAACACATAATCGGCATTAACAAAGCAGAGCCTGAGCGATTCACAATATGTGCAGTATTCCTGTACTTAAGGAGTTGAAATCAGTGTTTTCTCCCTTTTCAGAATGAGATATGAACAATATGTTTTGCTACAACGAGCCTATTTGTACACATTTTCTATAGTTATTGATTAACTTCCGTGTTTTTTGAGTGGCACATTGTGCTCAAGCATCTTTGTTTGTTAGCAGAGCTTTCCTGCACACCATCAGTGGCTCTACACTGAGTAACACATTAATAACTGTAGCATCGTATTTCACTTTCATTCTCTAATGAAATATTGACAGACCACACAAAATGAACCTTTAAGCAGCACTGGGGAGACTCCTGCAGTGAATAAACTGCTGGTGTCACTCGCTGTGCGTTGGCTTGCGGCCTTTTGCCCCCCCCCCCCCCCCCCCCCCCCCCCCCCATCCTCCTCCGACTTCCCCATTTGGTGGGCAGCATGCTAACCACTTAAACGCACCTCAGTCCGCAGAAGGGGATTGCCCGGTGTAATCTGCTAAAGTTATGTATGCGGCAGCCCTCATTTCTAAACATAGTTTGTTCAAACTGCTTTTGAAATGCATCTTGCACTTGCGACTGCTTTAATCCCTGTGAGCTAATGAGCTCATCTGCTGCTCTGCAATACTTACACACACTACAAGAGTCCGGAGTGAAAGCTGAAAACCCTCAGGAGGGACTGATACAGTGAAACGCTGGCACACATTAGTGCCCTTCATGCTGTGAGAAACATGTTTGTAGACTGACGAGCCATAGTTTCTGCCATGTTACTGGAGTGTGAGCGCAGGCTCCGGGTTTCATACACGGACTCTCTTCTGCTTTGCCTTGATTGTTTTACCTGTCTTTTCTTGCGAGGTATGAGTCGCGTGCACAGAGCCGTTCCCCAGTGAGAGGGTCAGACCAGATAGACAGACTGACAGACTAGACTGGCAGGGAGACAGTCTGACAGGCAGGCGGGCTGACACACACACACACAC